ACTCTACAATGTAGGTAATTATTCACTATACAATGTAGGTAAATATTTACTCTACATTAAAGATAAACATTCACTCTACAATTTAGGTAAATATTCACTCTACAATGTAGGTAATTATTCACTATACAATGTAGGTAAATATTCACTATACAATGTAGGTAAATATTTACTCTACATTAAAGATAAACATTCACTCTACAATTTAGGTAAATATTCACTCTATAATTTAGGTAAATATTCACTATAAAATGTAGGTAAATATTCACTATAAAATGTAGGTAAATATTCACTATACAATTTAGGTAAATATTCACTCTACAATGTAGGTAATTATTCACTATACAATGTAGGTAAATATTCACTATACAATGTAGGTAAATATTTACTCTACATTAAAGATAAACATTCACTCTACAATGTAGGTAACTATTCACTCTACAATGTAGGTAATTATTCACTATACAATGTAGGTAAATATTCACTATAAAATGTAGGTAATTATTCACTCTACAATGTAGGTAATTATTCACTATACAATGTAGGTAAATATTTACTCTACATTAAAGATAAACATTCACTCTACAATTTAGGTAAATATTCACTCTACAATGTAGGTAATTATTCACTATACAATGTAGGTAAATATTCACTATACAATGTAGGTAAATATTTACTCTACATTAAAGATAAACATTCACTCTACAATTTAGGTAAATATTCACTCTACAATTTAGGTAAATATTCACTATAAAATGTAGGTAAATATTCACTATAAAATGTAGGTAAATATTCACTATACAATGTAGGTAATTATTCACTCTACAATTTAGGTAAATATTCACTCTACAATGTAGGTAATTATTCACTATACAATGTAGGTAAATATTCACTATACAATGTAGGTAAATATTTACTCTACATTAAAGATAAACATTCACTCTCCAATGTAGGTAAATATTCACTCTACAATGTAGGTAATTATTAAATATACAATGTAGGTAATTATTCACTATACAATGTAGGTAAATATTCACTATACAATGTAGGTCATTAACCACTCTACAATGTAGGTAATTATTTGTTATACAATGTAGGTAAATATTCAATCTACAATTTAGGTAAGTATTCACTATACAAAGTAGGTAATTATTCACTATACAATGTAGGTAAATATTTACTCTACAATTTAGGCAAATATTCACTCTACAATGTACGTAAATATTCACTATACAATGTAGGTAAATATTCACTATAAAATGTAGGTAATTATTCACTCTACAATTTAGGTAAATATTCACTATACAATGTAGGTAACTATTCACTATACAATGTAATTATTCACTATACAATGTAGGTAATTATTCACTATACAATGTAGGTAATTATTCAATATACAATGTAGGTAATTATTCACTATACAATGTAGGTAATTATTCACTATACAATGTAGGTAATTATTCACTATACAATGTAGGTAACTATTCACTATACAATGTAGGTAATTATTCACTATACAATGTAGGTAATTATTCAATATACAATGTAGGTAAATATTCACTATACAATGTAGGTAACTATTCACTATACAATGTAGGTAATTATTCACTATACAATGTAGGTAATTATTCAATATACAATGTAGGTAAATATTCACTCTACAATGTAGGTAATTATTCACTATACAATGTAGGTAATTATTCACTATACAATGTAGGTAATTATTCACTATACAATGTAGGTAATTATTCACTATACAATGTAGGTAATTATTCACTATAAAATGTAGGTCATTAACCACTCTATAATGTAGGTAATTATTTGTTATACAATGTAGGTAAATATTCAATCTACAATGTAGGTAAATATTCACTTTACAATGTAGGTAATTATTCACTATACAATGTAGGTAATTATTCACTATACAATTTAGGTAATTATTATTCACTCTACAATGTAGGTAAATATTCACTATACAATGTAGGTAAATATTCAATCTACAATGTAGGTAAATATTCACTATACAATGTAGGTAATTATTCACTATACAATGTAGGTAATTATTCACTCTACAATGTAGGTAATCATTCACTATACAATGTAGGTAAATAATCACTCTACAATGTAGGTAAATATTCACTATACAATGTAGGTAAATATTCACTCTACAATGTAGGTAATCATTCACTATACAATGTAGGTAATTATTCACTATACAATGTAGGTCATTAACCACTCTACAATGAAGGTAATTATTTGTTATACAATGTAGGTAATTATTCACAATACAATGTAGGTAATTATTCACTCTACAATGTAGGTAATCATTCACTATACAATGTAGGTAATTATTCACTATACAATGTAGGTAATTATTCACTATACAATGTAGGTAATTATTCACTATACAATGTAGGTCATTAACCACTCTACAATGAAGGTAATTATTTGTTATACAATGTAGGTAAATATTCAATCTACAATGTAGGTAAATATTCACTATACAATGTAGGTAATTATTCACTATACAATGTAGGTCATTAACCACTCTACAATGTAGGTAATTATTTGTTATACAATGTAGGTAAATATTCAATCTACAATTTAGGTAAATATTCACTATACAATGTAGGTAATTATTCACTATACAATGTAGGTAAATATTCACTCTACAATTTAGGTAAATATTCACTCTACAATGTAGGTAAATATTCACTCTACAATGTAGGTAAATATTCACTCTACAATGTAGGTAAATATTCACTCTACAATGTAGGTAAATATTCACTACAATTTAGGTAAATATTCACTACAAAATGTAGGTAATTATTCACTCTACAATGTAGGTAAAGATTCACTATACAATGTAGGTAAATATTCACTATACAATGTAGGTAAATATTCACTATACAATGTAGGTAAATATTCACTCTACAATGTAGGTAAATATTCACTCTACAATATAGGTAAATATTTGCTGTATAGGTAAATATTCCCTGGATAGGTAAATATTTGCTGTATATGTAAATATTTGCTGTATAGGTAAATATTCCCTGTATAGGTAAATATTTGCTGTATAGGTAAATATTCCCCGTATATGTAAATATTTGCTTTATAGGTAAATATTCTCAGTATAGGTAAATATTTGCTGTATAGGTAAATATTCTCAGTATAGGTAAATATTCTCAGTATAGGTAAATATTTGCTGTATAGGTAAATATTCTTCCCTGTATATGTAAATATTCACTGTATAGGTAAATATTCACTGTAGAGGTAAATACTTGCTTGACAATTATATATCTATGTAGTAAATATTCACTTAGAAATGTATATTTATATTCACATTACATATAAGTGCAATGTAGATAAGACTTTATTCTGCAATGTAGGTAAGACTTTATTCTGCAATGTAGGTAAGACTTTATTCTGCAATGTAGTTAAGACTTTATTCTGAAATGTAGTTAAGACTTTATTCTGCAATGTAGTTAAGACTTTATTCTGCAACGTAATTAAGACTTTATTCTGCAATGTAGTTAAGACTTCATTCTGCAATGTAGTTAAGACTTTATACTGCAATGTAGGTAAGACTTTATTCTGCAATGTAGGTAAGACTTTATTCTGCAATGTAATTAAGACTTTATTCTGCAACGTAATTAAGACTTTATTCTGCAATGTAGGTAAGACTTTATTCTGCAATGTGGTTAAGACTTTATTCTGCAATGTAGGTAAGACTTTATTCTGCAATGTAGGCAAGACTTTATTCTGCAATGTAGGTAAGACTTTATTCTGCAATGCAGGTAAGACTTTATACTGCAATGCAGGTAAGACTTTATTCTGCAATGTAGGTAAGATTTTATTCTACAATGTAGGTAAGACTTTATACTGAAATGTAGGTAAGACTTTATACTGAAATGTAGGTAAGACTTTATTCTGAAATGTAGGTAAGACTTTATACTGCAATGTAGGTAAGACTTTATACTGAAATGTAGGTAAGACTTTATTCTGAAATGTAGGTGAAAGGCAAAGTTAAATGTACACTGACAATACATTATTGGAGAACATTTCTTCAGAAAAATGTCTTGGGAGAAAATACTAGGAATTGATGAACAGGTAGAATTCTAGATTAATTTCTGTTGTTAGAGTGTCATTAAGTCAATGAAAGTTCATATTTTTGTTTATTGTTTACTTATCTAGTAGGAAATCACACTGCATAACCATGCATACCTATATTTGTAAATATTTAAAACACTATTTGGTTGCCCATATACAAGCGTGCTTTGTTTACTTTGATGTAACAGAGGTCATTATTCATTTCAATGCCACCGCTAGGAATCGAACCAGGAACCCCTGGCTTACTAGTCTGATGCTCAAGTGGTACATTGCGGTAAGTATTTTACCAGGGTTACATGGAATTAATTGAAAAAATTTACCCAGCAAGTAATCAATTTTTTACCTGCATGAAAAAATACATATATAAGATTGATAAATCATTGCCTCTTTAACAGGCCTGTATAAATATATATCTTCTTTTATAAATTCTGAGTACCACAAACACACAACAACACAATGTTACATGTATTCTGTACCGAGTGATATACATGTACATATCACGGACGTAGATAACGTTACATACATCCCTGTACATATATAGATATATGTAGTTTGTATCATAGATACAAACCCTAACATAAGAGATTGATAAAAAAAAAAGTCTCAAGAATGATAGGATTCTGGTCTATTATGCACTTACTGAATAAATATGATCATTAATAAGGAAAATTCTGTCTAATTAGCAATTTATTTCTAATTGTTAAATATAGAATTTTTGTACGGAGAGCTTCTCACTGTAGATTGATCAAAGTGTGAAATTAAGGTTGTAAAAGAAAATCTATTGGTTTTCAGAACGTATACAGCCAGGGAAAGAAATTATTAAGAGGTCCGGGACTGAAGATCGGGCACGTTAAGCTTGGTCGTAACGAGCTGTAGCTGTTAAGTTGACTTACCTAAACCATACGCCTCCATTTCAAGAAATTGTTTGACATGGTCCGATCTGTCTTGGAAGATTTGATTAAAACTGCCTTCAATGTTATTGATTAAGCACGTACACACAGAGTATTATATCCGGAAGTCAAATACCACAGGTGTTCGACACATGCACAGTTGATCTCGAGGTGTCTCGGTGATCGCGAGGTCTAAAAATAGACTGCAAATATATAATGTCGTGACGTGTTAGGAAACACCGTTTTGTTATGTTAATGTTGTGTAAACACGTAGGACAGAAGTCAGAAGTATTTATGTAATGGTCGTGACATTGGACGTAATACAATATTTCTTTTTTTTTCACTTGGACTCGTAGTCCGGTAATTTTACTGTACAGTCAGAGACGTGTGTTATATATGTCTCTGGTACAATGTAGTTGAATGTTTTATTGTCGATCGGCGATCTATTGAAAGCCTACAGGTACATGTATTTGGTACCACGTACCTACCACGAGTCGCTGAAGTCGGGGCTGTGTCGTCCACAGGTCCTGTCAACTCATATACTCGTTGTAACATGAAGGAAAAAGACTGTCTGTGCAGTACACTTTAAACCACGTCAACACAAGTGACGATGAACAAGCATGCAATGTTAAATGCTAAGTACATTGTAGATGTAATTAAATGATTCATCCTCATTTAACTTGTCATATTTAATGTAAAAAAGACCACGTTCATGTCTACGATGCCTGTTCCTTTAAACGAGGTTAATGTACTACTTGCTACAGTATTGGCCAGTATGGGGAGGACCACCACATGTTGTCAAAAACAATTAGAGTGTATGAAGACCGCCGGTTGGTTGATGGAACTCGTTGCATCAATTAAGCTCGTCTTCAAAAATCATAGATTTGTCACAATCTTCTTCCCATTTTAGCTCGCAAAAATATTCAATGTTTTATTCAAATGACAAGAATTGAAAAATAGACGAGACTAAATTATTGCTAGACATAAACAGTAATCGGTTTTAATTGACTGAAAATATCAAAATGTTAGTCTGATTATAGTGAAGAAGTTATTTAAGGATTTTTCAAATTCAAGTAAAAGAGATATAGCGCATAACGACTCCTATGAACCTATTTCAGTTAACAGAGTTCACAAAGTTGCAACGCTTCTAGGTTGAATTAATAAAAAGTACAATACATAAAAGGTGCTAGTTATACGTTTGTTACTTATTTTATTATGAAATATATATCTGATATAAACAGGATAGTTAACAAGCTACTTGACAAAAAAACAGGCTATCGTGGTTGTGAGTGTTTTTAGAAAGCTGAAAATCGGATAGGTTTGTGCTGTCGTCATTGTTGTGTCGTCTGACGAGAGAATTGCTCGGAATGACATGCGGCAGGCGTCTCGTATGTTTTTCTAGTGTGGTATAATATCCGCCATTTTCTTCAGACGACGTCAAAAATGACGCTTCCTGTTCATCTACGTATATAAGACAGGGCCCCAGATAGCTTTGACTAATTGCAATGATCAATTGCTTTGAGAATATAAACTTTTTAATTTTTTTAAAAATTTTTATCAGTTTTTTTATTATTTCAAACTGCAGAATATTTGTTACATCGAAATGAAAAAAAAAATATTAAAAACGCGACAAAAGTATCGAGATAATGATAATCCTTTGTACTTTTATGTCGATCAATACGTAGCCTACAGCTCTGATAATTGATATGTAATTGAGTTAAGTGGTTTTCATCACTTTAAAATGATTACTTCACATTGTAGATTTTTCTTTACGATGTTATAAAACCTTTAATAAATCAGCACTTTTGGAAAATTAGAAAAAAATGACGTAAAACAGCTTTACCCAGATATTTATTATGATGAAAAGATGATATACTTCATTGAATTTTGTACTAAAAGCATATATACGGCTAGCATCGATTTATTTAGGATCAAGTGGTGTCAGGTTTTCTAATCTGAAGTATAAAAGAGATCGTAGAAAATGAAGACAATTTTTTTTCATCATTTCTTGTTTGTATTCGTTTAAGGTAAGTTCGGATATCACTGTTTCACTCGTTCGTAACATAAATATTACCCAATGATTCCATAGGTCAATTTCTAATTATGGTTTTGAACGTAAAAAATAATTATCAATGGCACATGCCCCTTTGTACAGTAGACGCTATTACAATAATTAGATAAGGCCGAGTTATCACTGATTACTAGAAAGTCGGCCATTTTGTAACCATCGTATGTAAAACTGGAAACTCATTGATCAAATATCGATCTACATAGAACACACTTATTGCTTTGTCTATATTTATGATTTACAGACCATGAGGTGATCAGTTGTGGATACTGAAGATCAGTCCATCTGTACAAAGTTCTGGACGTGGATAACATTAATGTTAATATATCGGTAAAGACCCTGTTCATATGTGGCTTACTGCAATGTGTTGGTGCATTCTTCTATTTGGAAAATGAACAATGAATCTGCAGAATATCGTTGTGATAAAAAGTATAC